AAAAAACATACATGGCTTTTGGTAATGACTAATGACTCTTACTATGTATACAAAAATGTTATGGTACAAATAGTTTACAATCAACAAGTTACAACTCTCAGTGTTTAATTATTCCACAGGAAACCACAACGAAGATACAAGGCTATACCTACAGGCACTATTTAGATCCCATGCAAATTAATTTGTCATTCCTCTACTACATAAGTTATATGCTGATGACACTATACCTAGAGTAAAATACTACTCAGCAAGTGCACATGCACATTTCTGTATGGTATGCTATGTCGACGTAGCAATCACATGGGTCTACATGTAATCAGCAGCTACGTTGCCACAGCGGCGCACACCTCCATTTTAGCACACTGATATGGTAATGTAGTGGCAAAATATAACAGTGTGCCATGCGAATGGCACAGTACAAAAGGTTACTGTAGCAATGTCACTGTATGGTGACATGTAGACCTGCCCATCGTGACTAAGGAGACATAGGAAAACACACAGAATATGAATCTGGTTGGATCAGAATCCCTGAACTAATGGAAATGTATCATAATCCATTTTTTTTTTTTAATCAGACGTTGAACAGCATGCAAATTCTTGTATCTCTACATCACACCTTCTTTAACATCTAGATAAAGAATCTAATGTAATCACATGAGAACATGTGAGTCACAATCATCATTACCCACCTACACTAAACTAATATTATAAAGTCTACAGCTCCGCTGGTTGCTTTGGGTAATGACAAATGAAATATAGGGCAGCTTGGTTTTAAAAAGGATGTCAAAAAGGACAGCAAAGGAAATGAGTTTCTATTGGAAACATACAAGCAGCATTGGGCTGATATTAAATATTTGGAAATTTGACTTAGTCAACTACCACACTGGAAATCTGACTGAGGCATCTTCTGTTCATTATCTCCAACTTTTTCAGCATTGTTTTCCATTACTTTCTTCTCTTTTCTCACTTTGACAAATCTTGTCTGAGAATCTTGAGAAACAAGAGAGACAGCAAGAACAGCCAGCAAGCAGAAAACAGTAGACAGAAATCTGTATGAACCTTGCTTAATAACTAAAATGGTAAAAAACAATTACAAGGGGTATTACGATTAAATACATATCAAAATGCACCCAAGAAAAAACTAGAGCAGTGCCCTCTAGAACTGAGACAGCTTTTTAAATGTAACAAATATGAGAGTCAAGAGCTTATCACTGTTCTGTGCACACTAGTTTAAAGACAAAGGAATACAGGTTGAACATAGAAATACACTGTACATTACAACTATTATTGCCATTCCATTAAATGTATTTCACTGCTTTTTCAGACAGCTGAATAGCAATCAGCAAAACCCACTGTATCTTCTACCATGAACTAATAATCTGTTACGTGATTATCATTTGATGCTAAAAGTCAACCTATTGGGAAAAGATGATAAAATAACAGATTTGTGTTATGTAATAGATGCCAGGAAGACTAAGACTTATACAGTCAGAATGAGTTTGTTTGGTTCATGTTGACAAAATATTTTTGGAAATATTACTACTATTAATAGGGGGCCAAAAGCACCAAAAGCTTAAGGCCTACAGCATTACAGAGGGAGAGCTTCTATATAATTTAATAAGAATCCTGTTTAAAGTCAATGCAGAGCTTTGTAAAATTCCATGGATCATTACCCTTAGACTTGAAAACTTAGATTTATAGTTTATTCCTGCATTTATTACCATTGCTGCAATAAGTTTATTTTTCAGCAATGCTAAAAAAATGTTCTTTATGCTGCACATTAGTAAGTTTACTTATAAATTTCCTAGCTTCCAATCTGTTGAAATGACACATTTACTACACAGTAAAATCTGTAGAAGTGGAGAAGATGCACAACACAGCCTTACACTGATGTAGGTCACTCCACTCTCAGGTAAAGATAATGGTAACAAAAACTGGAAGTGACCGTATCATAGCATAGCATTCATGTGCGTTTCCCCTCCTCAGTTTCATCCATTAGGTCAATGAAACCTGCTCCTCACCACCTAGTGGCCAGGACTGAAGTAGCTCCTACGGAGGGCAGCCAGCTTGGGAGATATGATCATTTCTCCACTTTGTACTAGAGAGTACATTTATTACGAGCGGGGGGGAGGGGGGTGCGTGCAGAGGGAGGGGTGGAAAAAGGTCAGTTGATAACTATCCTGAGAGGTCTCTGTATCCCAGATCACTTACTTTTCAACTTACCCATTATGGGACTTTAGTATTGTAGCACTGCTGAA